TGGCACTGCTTTCTGGCATCTAACGATGTCAGAAAATGAGGAAACATTCGCTGATATCTCATCCCACACTTGCTTCACCTAATAACTCATGTGTGGAACAGTGGTGCTCCCGGAGATGTTGTGCCTTTTCACCTCGCGCATGAGCATGTCTGTTTCCTCGAGTGATAAGCGATCTAACTTGTTCGGCAAATGTGCCATGATAATAGTAACTTGCTGTAGCTCATGCACCACTGCCTTTTAAATGTGAGGTGACTCACCATTCCAATTGCTTCATTGCATGTTGCATCCAAAACGTCCCTCTGAATAATTAAGAGAGTTAGGACAGCCTTTTTTGCGCCTTGTGCTGGTGCAAAGTCTGTTTTTTCCACAGTCAAAATAACAAAATGGATTTGGACATGCCCATAAATGTTCGTCACGCTTTGTGCATTACACTTTGCATTATATCATCAAAATACAGCCCAAAGACTGCATACTGCAAGATGCTGGTATTCTTTTCCCTGACATGTCGGTCTTACCTCAAGTACAGTGGCAGGGCGAATAAGTGAATTGTTAAATAACATTAATAATTGGCGGTACAGTACATCAAAGTGAGAAAATCCAGGGCTATTAATTGGCACTTGACAAGAGAACTGACTTAAATGATACTAACTATATTTGTCAAGGGTATTTATGATTAGTATGAGATGAATTGCAAGTGAGTGCACTGATTTGCCCTGGGATAAACTGAAACAACCACAAATGATGCCCAATGATTTGGAGAAAAAATGGTCCAATCAAGGGAAAGGTGGTGGAATAGAACATAAATCCTTATCTGCTGGTGTGGTACCTTTGGATTGGAAGCATTGTAATATAACTCCCATATTCAAAAAGGAGATAATCCAGCAAACTATAGGTCAATCAGTTTAACTTGCATAACTGGAAAAGTAATCCAAGTGAAATTAATCCAAGTGAAATTAATCCAAGTGAAAATGGTAGAATAACTGGATTCAAATAACATTCTGAGGAATAGCCAACATGGATTTAGGAGCGGTAGGTCCTGTTTAACTAATCTATGTTCTTTGAGAAAGCTACAAGAGAAATTGATCACAAAAAGACCTTCGATGTGATCTACTTAGATTTCCGGAAGGCCTTTGGTGTTGTCCCCACGAACGGCTCTTGCTTAAGCTCAAAGCTGCAGGGATTTTAGGAATTGTGGCAGCTTGGATTGAAAACTGGTTAACAGACAGGAAGCAGTGGGTAGTTCTTAGAGGCACAATGTCACAGTGGGCCTGCATTCATAGTGTGGTACCCCAGGGTTCAATTTTAGGACCACTATTGTTCCTAATTTATATTAATGTCATTGACACCAATACATACAGTAAACTGGTTAAATTTGCAGATGACACCAAGGTGGGCGGTGAAGCAGATATTGAATTAGCAGCAGAGAGGCTACAATGGGATATTGATTTAATTAGTGACTGGGCTGATACCTGGCAGATGAAATTTAACGTAGAACAATGTAAGGTAATCCATGCAGGGAGCAGAAATATAAAGTACGGATATTTTATGTGTTCCACTGAGATAAAGACAGATGATTATGAGAAAGACCTCGGTTTGTATGTTGATGCTTCCATGTCCCATTCTCACCAGTGTGGTGAAGCAATTAATAAGGCCAATAGGATGTTGGGTTAGATCTCTAGGTGTGTGGAGTTCATGTCAAGGGAGGTGATGCTACGATTATACAATTCCTTGGTAAGACCCCACCTAGAATATTGTGTGCAGGTTTGGTTACGGTACCATACCTTTAGAAGGACATTGCTGCCTTGGAAAGGGTGAAACGTAGGGCTACAAGAATGATTCCTGGTCTTAGAGGAATGTCTTATGAGGAGAGGTTAGCTGAGCTGAATCTGTTTAGCCTCGAGCAAAGGAGACTAAGGGGGGACATGATCCAGATATACAGTAAAACCTCAGATTGCAAGCATAATTCGTTCCAGAAATGTGCTTGTAATCCAAAGCACTCTTATACTGTATCAAAGCGAATTTTCCCATTAGAAATAAAAGAAACTCAGATTATTCGTTCCACAACCCAAAAATATTCATATAAAATGTAATATAAATTAAAAATACATAAAACAAATGAACCTGCACTTTACCTTTGAAAAGAATTGTGGATGATGTGAGGGAGACGAGAGAGAGGAGAAGAGGAGTGTTATTTTGTGGGGCGACTTTCACTGTAACTAACGGAATCACTGCTATCTGTTGGCTCACTGGAATCTTTTTCTTTTCGCGCGACTTTAACAAGGAACCTATCCAACGACAGTCGCTTTTCGATTTCGTGGAAATGTGGACATTGCATTGTTGTTAAACAGATTCATTGCTCGCATTGCTACGGCCTTATTCGGGTGGTGCTTTTCTACAAAATTTTGACTATACGAGCGAGGCACACCGACTGACACTGCATGGGAAATGATTACCCACAATCCCGCAGTGAGAGAGACAGAAGAACCATCGGCTCAGTTTTGATCACGTGACGCTCGGCAAACAAAGTGTATACGTAATACTCGTATTGCAAGACCTTGTTCGTTTATCAAGTTAAGATTTATTTAAAAATTTTGTTCGTCTTGCAAAACACTCGCAAACCAAGTTACTCGCAATCCAAGGTTTGACTGTATAAGATTCTAACAGGTCTAGATGCTGTTCAGCCAAATGGCTACTTCAATATTAGTTTAAATACTAGAACTTGTGGCTGTAGGTGGAAATTAGCGGGAGAACATTTTTAAATGGATTTGAGAAAGCACTTCTTTACACAGCGTGTAGTTGGAGTATGGAATAGTCTCCCTGTGAGTGTAGTGCAAGCTAAAACCCTGGATTCCTTTAAATCAGAGCTAGATTATCAACTCTGAGCTATTAGTTAAGTTCTCCCAAAACGAGCTTGATGGGCCGAATGGCCTCCTCTCGTTTGTAAATTTCTTATGTTCTTAATCCCACTGTTGCAATTATTTATCAACAGACACTATGCAGTGAATGATTATCATTTGAAAGGTTTATATCAGTCAACGTAAAGTGCAGTAGTTACAGATCTAGGAGGTTTAGGGGGTGTGTGAGTCAATGGGCTCTGACTGAAAGGTCGCCGGTTCGAGCTTGGCCTTGCCATAATAGTCATATGTTAACCCCCTGCTGTATGGGCACTACATGCATGGTATGGAGAGCAAGATGGGATAGGCAAAAAAGAGAATCTCCCCTTCAGGGATCAATAAAGTGTCATTCATAATATTGCTACAACACCAACAGCTTCAAGCCTTTTTGGAGATAACTGACAGAGCATATCGCAATATCTTGTGATTTACAGAGGTGTGCAGGCTAAGGAGGAGAAGTAAACCTGAAGAGGTTTCTTTGAACTGAGACAGGCAGTCAAGGAAAGCATGAACGACGGTATGCTGCATGTCTCTGAGCTTAATGATCTCAAGTGGATAATGGACCTAACCTTTTCAGTTCAGATATTAGCTCAATAAATTAAATCTAAATCAGCAAGGCCCAAACCAACTTGCCACTGAGCATTAAGGGAACTGAGATTAAGGAAAGCACAGGTTACTGAGGAAAAATCCATTTACCAACATGTAAGTCTTTCAGAGAACAAGGTGCTGAATTCAGTGGTGATGCCATCGAAAAAGCTACAGCAGAAGTTAGACCAGTGATTTTCTGGCATCAAGACATATGGGCATTGATGGCTTGATGGTTAGGGAAGCGCACTTGTAATTGTAAGATTGGTTTGAATCCCCAACCAGAAGGCACCACTGAGGTACCCTGAGCAAGGTACTGCTCCCCGGGCGCTGAATTAGCTGCCCCCTGCTATGTCACATTGTCACATATGGGTTAAATGAGGAGGACAAATTTCATTGTTGTGCACAGTGTGCTGTGGTGTGTAAACAATGACAGTTGATCACTAAATTCTATTCTAAAATAACGCCACTTCTCCATTGATGAGGATCATGTTCTATGCACGTTTTAAACAGACATAATAGACATAATCATGGAGCTTAAAGCAGTTAAGGGGGCACAAGGAAAACCAGAGAGAACTGCACAATGTTGAAGGCATCTTATCCACTGTATCCTAACTGTTGAAGAATACACATTAGTGGCAAATTATTCTAAACTATGAACAATGAATCAAAGCACTGATGCAGAATGACTGATGTCCTTCTCCCGATAATTCTTACAGTGTCCTCTGTCTAATCCCCCTTTGGAAAATGTGGCTCATTTGTCTAAGCAGAAGCATTATTTGATTTCAGGTAGCAAGCATCAATGAAGATGGCTATGTATAGCTAAAATTCATAGCTGAGGAAAAATGGGACCTTTTTCTTCTTGCAATCGTTCAATCAGCCCTCCTTGGAGAAGTCCACAGGGTTATAGACCCCAGTGTAATTTGAGATTGGGACCAGCTCTAAATACTATTCAGGACAAGAGGTAATTTTAACAATAGGATGAGACCAGTTCATAGAAACCCAGCCATAGTCAAGCTGAATGTAGACAAATTGTTTAAGACATTATATCTGTTTTTTTATGGCTGTTTGCTTTCAAACCAGCTTTTCCCCTTCGTTGTTGACAATCCTTCAGCCGTGACAGTTATCAACCGAGAAAAAAATTACTAGCAGGTGCTTTCAGGGAAAGAATGTCTTGATATTTGTACATTGGAAGAATAAATGAATTACGTCCCTGACCCAGATACCCTTATAATTAGGCAATATTTTCTATTGTCTTTTCACCGCCAAGAGGGTGAACATAATGCAAGGACTGTAGACAATATAGACCACTGGCATCACTAATTAATGCAGAACAAGGACTAAATAACAATTATTAATATATATTAATATATGTTTACTTATCTGTGTAAGAGCTATTGTCCGATTTCAATTTCATTTTAAATATCAATGACTAGCTGACTCTAAAGAATGAAAAGCATGTCTATGTGTCTCTAGGCAGTACTGGGATATCTAAACGAGGTAAAAAATGGTTGCTCTTACTCATCTCATGGTATAGCGAGCCCTGCTTAGTCATGACGGCCGTAGGTTTCCGTGGCAATGGCACATTGATTTTCATCAGGTCGTCACAACACTGCTTCCACTGGCCTGGAGGGTAAAGAAGACCATATGCATCAAGCATTATTCTCCATGACGATAAGTACAGCAAAACACACAGAGTGAGAAATGGACCATTGTCCCACACATGCATATTTCAATACTCATAGAAAGTGCAGTTAGTTAGTCAACAGGAGGAAATAAAAGATATTCCCTGTAATTATGCAAGAATAAGAAGTAAAAAACACCCCTATGCACTATGTAGAAATAAATTTTAATCTCAAGCATACCTAACGGCATGGACCAATTTTGGGTATAATTTCACAATACTGGGTACAATCACAGAAGAAAAGAAAGCAAAAGGTAAAGAATAACCTTCTTCATAATAGGAAAACAAGAAAACGGACACTATTGTATTAGAGAAACAGAAAAAAATTAAGAATGAAATCAAGAGCACAACAAAGTGTAAGTGAAGCAGGAAATAACTCATATGTTTTAAATATGTTTTGTCCATTGCAGATGTTGATTAAATGACAGTTGCAAAGGATGAAGGATTGCAAAAAATGTAAACACTGTGGATTAGACAGTTTAGAATCACAATATCACCTAGGACACCATTAATACCATTTTCCAATAGACAATATAGCACCATATACGATAATGAAAGTGCCCTGGAATGCTGATACTAACATATGTGGGACACACACTGCTGTTAGTAACCGCAGGGAGGGAAGGGAGGGGCTGGGAAGGCATGTCAAATGGGTATGTTTATCATATTTTAGGTCTACTCCAGGAAGTCCTGCACATAAATAATAATACCGGCTTCTTAAGCAATGGAAACTGATTTTTAAAGATCTCCTAAATAGCCATTTAATGGGCACTTTCAGCAAACAAAGTAAAAAAAAAACTGCCATGGCATTCATAAACCACTTGTTTCTTCAAGTCTATGTGTAAATTAAGCATTACCTATTCATCTATAATAGATTTTACAATTTTGAGGATAAATGTTTTTTAAAATAGTACTATAGTACTTCGCATTTTATTTAAACATATGCAGCATCCGTATTTTAATGGCAACATTAGTAAACACTAATCTTACAGTAAGCGCCATCTTATTTGAACTACTGCCAAAGCAAAGATGAAGCAGTTGCACCACACTACTACGCATGAATGGAAAGTTCAAAACAAGTTTTAATCTCAGTCCAGACTGACGTCAAAAAAAAAAACCCTTCTTGTTACTTACATGAAAAAATCCACACTGATTAAAAAGGTTATTAAACCGGACCTGCAACACTTGACTTTCATTGCCATTGCCTTAATGGTTGCATTCATACGTCATCTATATGAACACAGCACTTGGATGGATGAACCCTGAATTTCCTAGTATTGCATCATTTTAATTTATGTTCATGAATAGCCACAGTACAATTAGAAAATTAATAATTCTGTTGTGCAACAAGAAGGGCCGACTCTATTACACATTAAAATAGAGAATATGTATTTGTTATGGTTACAGTGGAATAAATTAGATTTATTGGCTAATTATAGGTTATTATGAGCTTATTCCAAAAAAAAGAATATAGCAGCCAATATCTGCTCCACTTTCAAAATGAAATACTAAAAAAATATATGAAATTATCTAGTTGATTCATGGTTTCGTATTCATTCATTTTTATCATCAATATATAACTCAAGTTGTCACATAACTGCAATTGTACAGTTTTGTGTGTAAATACTCTGGGGCTATCAAATCTGCACATGAGTCTTGTCTGAGGAAAACCAGTTATAAATCGCTCCAACTCTTTCTGAGTGTGTTCTATGTGTAACTAGGTCTGGAAATGCATTATCAGAAACTGAAACTATACTGAAACTAAGTTACCAATTCATATATATAATAAACCTCACTTTATTTTTTTTTTATTTTAATTTCAGTTTATTTACTTTTATGCTTATAATACTGTATATCCTGCTTGTATGTCACTTTAATCAAAGGCATCTGCTAAATAAATAAATGTAAATGTTATTTATCCTCTTATGATTTTCCTTGATTGGAATGGAAAGGTTGCAATCCCACCCACAAAAGGGTGTGTTTTGCCATTATTTCCCCATGCCAGTAGAATAATTTCAGTTAGAAGTCATTTCTGGCAGGAACCCAGTCAGCAGTGCCTTTCTGGTCAAACAGCAAATCATGCACTGGTACCTGAAGTATATCCTTCATAAAAGAAAGCAAAAATACGAAAAGAAAAAAAAAAAAATTAATTTGAGGAAGGTGAGGTTCCATAACAGAAGCCTATCGTCATTATGATTTATCAAGACATCAGCTGGTATGTCTTTTTGTTTCCTTGATTTGACACAGAAACATTTTGTTCTGCAATGCTTTAAAAAGTCCAGTTTCAAAGGCAATAAAAATAATTCACTGATAACACAATAGGTGCCCACAGTGCTGCAACATACTGACAACTACAACTAATTATAAAAATTACATTCAAAGAATGATATATTTTACATATCTTGTTAAGGAAATTTGTTAACGAAAGACTGATGTTTATTATTCTAAATTCAATTCAATCTGTTTTATATAGTACCTTTCTCAGCATGGTTGGGCTGAAATGCTACATATATCTACACACTATTTTGTCAAAAGTATTGGGACACCTGCCTTTATTCACAATGTATTGACATCCCATTCTTAATACATAGGCTTTAATATGGAGTTGGCCCACCCTTTGCAGCTTGAGCCCTTCTGGGAAGGCTGTCCAAAAGGTTTAGGTGTGTTTATGGGAATTTTTGACCATTCTTCCAGGAGAGCATTTGTGAGGTCAGGCACTGATGTTGGACGAGGAGGCCTGGCTTGCAGTTTCTGCTCGAATTTATCTTATAGGTATTCTATCAAGTTGAGGTCAGGGCTCTGTGCAGGCCAGTCAAGTTCCTCTACACCAGACTCACTCATCTATGTCCTTATGGACCTTGCTTTGTGCACTGGTGCGCAATCATGTTGGAACAGGAAAGGACCATCCCCAAACAGTTTCCACAAAGTTGGGAGCATGAAATTGTCCAAAATTTAGTTCCTTTTACTGGAACTAAGGGGCCAAGCCCAACCCCTAAAAAACAACCCCACACCAATGACACCATAATCCCCCCTCTACCAAACTTTACACTTGGCACAATGCAGTCAGGCAAGTACTGTTCTCCCGGCAACCACCACACCATCAGATTGCCATACAGGGAAGCATGATTCGTCACTCCAGGGAATACATCTCCACTGCATCCGACGCTTCGCATTTCACTTGATGATGAAGGCTTGGATGCAGTTGCTCAGCCAAGGAAACCCATTCCATGAAGTTCTCTATGTACTGTTCTTGAGCTAATCTGAAGGCCACACGAAGTTTTGAGGTCTGTAGCTATTGACTCTGCACACTGTGCACCTCAGCATGCGTTGTGCCCACTCTGTGATTTTACGTGGCCTACCACTTCGTGGCTGAGTTACTGTTGTTCCCAAGTCAAAAATCATACTAGATTCTACGATCAAACTACATAGAGTAGTGATAAACAAGACACAAGCCCTTCACATGTTAAATAAACTGGAAGCACCTTAAAAATGATTCCACTCAAACTTACTTCACCAAAAAACGCATGGTACCTGAGAGATTCCTGTTTGATCTGCTTGTTAGTGTACTCTCACCGGACTGTGACCACATTGACGTGGAGCACCAGGCAAGGTATGCAGAGAGAGCATATCGCAATTCTTTCTAAACCATGACCAGCTGAGACCACCATAGTAATCCTCCCACAATGGATGGCCAAGTTTCTGAGAAGTTCAGTGTTATAACATGGGAAATCATTTCATATGTTACAAAAAAAGGTTAAAAATCAAATCAGTTGATTTCATCAGGTCATGTGCAGAATATTTTGTTATCCTGTGTGTAACACTAGAGCTAAACCAAACATTTAAACTTTAGATGGTGCAATATACTATATCCTCTTCTCTTTAAAATTGAACCACTAAATGTACCTGCTTTGTTTAAAAAATAAAGCCGGTACATACAGCAGGTGTTGCTGGCCATCCTGTTTTCCTCCATGTTACTCTCCCTTCAGCCCCTATGTGGTTTCCCTATTCCCTTTACCACTGCATAGCTCAGTAGGCTGAGTTTGCAGCTCACATTGAGAACCTGTGACTTGTGGGTTCAAAGCTGGCTGGGAACAACCCTCATCTATTTCATTTGGTTTTCCCTATTGTTATTGCTTATCAGTGCTTTCCTGTTTTTGGTGTGTTTTTTTTTTTTTGTGTTTCACTTGGTTCCTTGTCTTTTGCACTTTGTCCCCTATTTACCCAGTTTTCCTTGCTTTAGTTAACCCTTAGTGTTTGTTCGTTTTTCCCTACTGTCCAGTGCTGTTTAATTGTAACACGCCACACCTGTTCCTTCTGATTGGTTAATGGGTTATGATTCTCACCCGTCCTGCATTGTGTCTTTAGCTGTGTATTTAAGTGCCTGTTCTGGTTCATTTCTTTGATGGTTCATTGTAATTGTGGTTTGTTCCTGTGTTTGTTGCTCCGTTCTGGTGCTCAATCCTGTTCCCTGTGTTGCTCAATTCCCCAGTGTATTTGCTTTATGATTTCTTTGTTACATTCTTATTTCTCCCATTTTGTTTTGACCCCTTGCAGTCCTTTTATTTTGTGTCTTCCCCATTGTGTTCTATTTTGTTAATAAACCCCTGTTGTCTCCAAGTTGCAAGTTGATCTTCACCCCTTTTTCCTGCCTGTGCCATGCCTTGCCATGACACCCACCGTACACAATATTTATGGATAGTGCTTACACAAAGCATCTGAGGTATATTTGACTCTCCCTGCCGGCCCCTGAAGGACGGGCTCCCCCTTTGGGTCTGGTTAGGATTAGGGCTTCCTCTGCTGCCCCCTGCAGGATTGGCTCCCCCTTTGAGTCTGGTTCCTCCCAAGGTTTCTTCCTTCTAGACAGTTTTTCCTTGTCGCCTATGGCTTACTCACTGGGGGCTTTGGGTGGGGATGCTGTAAAGTGCTTTGAGACGATGTAATGTTGTGATAACGCGCTATACAAAAATAAATCTGTTTGTTTGTTTGTATTAGTGCAAGTTGGCATAGCCAGACAAGGCAGACAAACTGCATCTTCCCAGTTCTCACATGTCTTGGATTGTGAAAGCCTCTATTCTAATTAGTGTAGTACTTTATACAAAAGTAAAGAATTAATTTCTTATTACAGTTTTTAATTTTCTGATATTTACCTGAGAATTATATTAATTGTGTATTTTTTTTTTTTAAGACAAATGGCTAGGCAAGGCTATACTGAGTGGTACCGGAGGAGGGGGAATCTGACATACGTACAATTTGACTTGCCTAAGGGGTTGGAAAATTATCTGTTTGCCTAAGTCGGTGTAAATATACCTTTTAGTCTAATTTAAGGTATAGAAATGGACTCTAAGGAATGTTTTTGTACCATTGGGGGTACAGTAATGTTTATACCTTGGGGAACAAAACCGTAACAGTGCTGTACCCTTTTTTCTGACAGAATACCTACCTCCCTCCTTACCAGGGATGGAAATTGCATATACATACCAAAGTGATATTATATTTATAACTGCTTCGACATGTATTACAAATACTTTTTGCTGAATAGCAGTTTGTGTCTACATTTAAAATAAAGACAAGGGCTGTTACAGTACACGTATGTGTCATGAGCTGTTCAGTTACATCATTTTCGGTTTGGATCGCATAATTACGTGTTTGATGTAAAATCACAAATAAAACGTGGCTAATTGTAGCTTTCAGTTGATTACAGTAGTTCTTGAGAGCTCAAAGACCCTCCTGCCCAGTTAATTGTCAGCCATTGTTAGCAATATCAGTGGATAACAACACATTACATGGTATTTTGCGCATAAGAACACTGTAGCAACACATCCACAAATAGTGGTTGGACAGTACTGTGTGTACGATCGATTTAATAACAGTATAAAACCACAGCTTTAATTTCTGTTGATAAAGGGCGTAGACATCTTAGATTCTGAGCTCGGGGTTGTATTGATTCCTCCGAGTTCACGAGTCGGAATTCCATAAGTTCACGAGTTGGAAGGGGGCGATCAAGTTGAAATTTCCAACTACGAACTGGGAATACGATAAGGTTGCAATTCATGGAGGGGCAGTTTCCTCCGCAGGGTGTCTGGGCTCAGCCTTAGCGATAGGGGGAGGAGCTCTGACATTCGGGAGGGGCTCAAGGTAGAGCCACTGCTCCTCTGCATTGAAAGGACATCTATCTAGGATGTCTCTGGATAACTCCCTGGGGATGGTGATGAATAAAGGATAAAGTAGCAGAATTATTTGATACTGTCGACTCATTCATCACTATCACGTCATGTTGTGTCAAAAGGAATGAGAACTATTAGCTGTATATTACTGGGATGAGTCTTATAAGCTCAAGCAGGGTATCTTTAAATATTTTCTATGCTTGTGAACTCACTGTCAGACTTAGATTTAAAAGGTTATTCATTGGCACATATATGACATGTAGCCACAATGCTTGCTTTCAGTAGTAAAAAAGCCTGTATGAATTTAATAACCATTAATAGATATCTGTTTAAATAACACGGTAGTGGTTACAATAACACGTACTTAATAGGCTGATGAGTGTCCTCACTATAGTTGACCAATATGCATCTGTTTTGGCCCTTGTGTCCTTGATCATTTGTGATTGACATCGTTAAATGGTTTCCATTTGAGAATATATTGAAAGGTTTGTAAAATGCATTTCATTCAGCCTACAGTGTATAAATTTACTTCACTGTAGTTCTTAGTAGGGCTGAGCAATATGTCATAAAAATTATATCACAATATTTTCAGAGATTATCAGGATTTTCGATATTTATCATGGTCTTTTAAAATTCATATGTAAAAAACAGTAAAATATGACAGGCGGTTTTGAGTTTTTCTAATCATGATGACCAAATTGATTTACTAATAGTTATGGAGCGTACAGTATGACAGGTATAATGATACATGAGGCCAACAACAGACTCATACCTTGATGGAATTTGTTTAAAAGTGTATTATAACTGTTAATTATGCAAGAAAGCAAGTGTTTAGGCCATATCACGACACTCATGATATTCAAATGGATGACGATATGCATGTTCATAATCACAAAACGATATTTTATCGAAATATCGCCCAACCCTAGATCTTAGTCTATGTTAATAATTACTCAGTTTTCCCTGTGAAGTGTATCCTGATCCATACCCTAACCCTCCACTGTTCTTTTGACGCTTCTCCTTCTTTCCCTGCTGCTGTACCACAGTGCATATTAGGATTTTGCCATCTTGTTCATTTGACTCCCCCTGCTGCCCCCTGGAGGATGGGCTCCCCCTTTGAGTCTGGTTCCTCCCAAGGATTCTTCTTCCTAGGGAGTTTTTCCTTGCCACTGTCTTCTCTGGCTTGCTCACTGGGGGCTTTGGGCAGGAATAATGTAAAGCAATTTGAAACAATGTAATGTTGTGAAAATGCGCTATACAAATAAAATTTAATTGAACTGAATTGTTCCACAAAGCAGGATTTCTCAGTTAGCCGAGTTAACCTAAGCAAGACATATTGATCGTCCATTAAGAGTTTAGGTGAGAAACATTCCTGTTGGACAATAATGGCTTCTATCTTAAATTAACCCAGCTAACTGAGAAATCCTAATTTGTGGAACACCCTCCCAAATCGTGCCACCACAATGGAACACCCTCCCAAATCTGTCAATGGATCTGCTTCACAGTAGATCTGCAGCCAAAGCCTTCTTGAAAATTTAGACTGGGCTTAAGATGTGTGTGACCACACTTGGTAGCAGACAACATGGGATATAGTTCATTATGATTGTTATGATGCCGTCTTATATGTGATTTTAAAATTTATTTTACATATTGATTTAGGGTTAAATTGAGTGTCTCTTAGGTTTTCTTATTCAAACACATTGATAGACACATTGCCTGTGTGTTTGGTTTACAACTGTTCCTATATTACAACAAACAACAAACAAATTTATTTTTGTATAGCGCATTATCACAACATTACATCGTCTCAAAGCGCTTTACAGCATCCCCACCCAAAGCCCCCAGTGAGTAAGCCATAGGCGACAGTGGCAAGGAAAAACTCCCTAGAAGGAAGAAACCTTGGGAGGGACCAGACTCAAAGGGGGAGCCCATCCTCCAGGGGCCGGCAGAGGAAGCCCTAATCCTAACCCTAACCAGACTCAAAGGGGGAGCCCATCCTCCAGGGGCCGGCAGAGGAAGCCCTAATCCTAACCCTAATCCTAACCCTAACCAGACTCAAAGGGGGAGCCCATCCTCCAGGGGCCGGCAGAGGAAACCCTAATCCTAACCCTAATCCTAACCCTAACCCTAACCCTAACCAGACTCAAAGGGGGAGCCCATCATCCAGGGGCCGGCATATTATGCTTGCAGTTTGAATTTTAAACAATTACAAACCAAATTCTGTTTCCCTGCTGTACTTAAACTGCACCAAACCGTGAACCAGTAAGCAGTATCTATGGGTAGGGGTCCTATTAATTTATAGAATCCAAAGTTTGCCTAAACTTTCATAGTAACACCCTCCATCCTGCTTATTCACTACATGACCATGGTCTTTATACAGATAAAGCCACATGCATGAATTGTAACTTTCAATAGTTTCATAACTAATAATATATCATATAAAAGAACACTGTCATCAGCCTGTTCTCCTTCAAGAACAATTACTAGTGTTAGTGGCTTTGACAATCATGGACTAAAAATCATGGACTGTCAGAGTTTGTCTGCTGGCTTAGGTGCAAAATCCCTCTGTGGCGACACTTAGCTACGGTACTCACTCATGTCATAGAAATGCTGCCAGAAGGCCTCCATCCAGCGCTGTGTGTCCTCTCGCCGCTCAGCGCTCAGCACATGAGTCACTTCCTCTCCCCCGTAGCGGTTGCTGATGCAGATGCTTTGAGCCTTGCCGTGCGGATCTTTGTCCGTGGCGCGGATCCTCGTTTCCTGCAGAATACCGTCAAGGCGATTGCAGCAGTTATCTCCACAGCTACATTTTACAGGAACACCATATCAATACCAATTAGTTCATTAGGGCATAAGTAAATTTGTGTTTTATTATAAATCTTTATCTTAATATTTGCAGAGCCTTACTTTTTTAAAATTATTTTGTAAAATCATATAGTTCATTTATTATTTTAATTATAATATACTGACTAAGCAGGATAAAAAAGATTAATAACTGTTAACATGAGTCAGAACAGGATGTGTATCTCTGTAGGTTAGGTCCCTGCGATTAGGAGGTCTTCAGGTCAAAAAGTGAATTGGAGTTGTCAAATTATCGGGATGTGTGCATGAATGGAATGCAACGGGTCGGTGCCCCATCCTTGGTTTTTCCCTGCCTTGTACCCATAGCTTCTGAGATGGGCTCCAGACCCCCCATGACCCTGAATAGAATAAGCATGCATCGAAAATGGAATGGATGAGCGGTTCAAATCCTGTGGCTGACAGAGGGATTTCACCATGGGGCTGATGAAGAAGGCCTTTAACCCCCAATTGCTCCAGGGTCTAACCATACTCTATGATCCTCCCTCGTATGTTGCTTTGGACAAAAGCATCTGGTAAAAAAACAATTAGCAGCCACGCTTCTTGGACCCCTAAATATGACCTGCTTGAATTAGCAGTTTAATTCCATTGGCAGTGTTTTTGGTGGTGGTGTGTGACTCTGTGCCTGTGATAGGAAGGTCACTGGTTTGAGCCTGGTCTTACCAGAACAGTCACATGACTGTGGGCCCTTGGGCAAGGCCCTTAACTGCCAGCTCCAGGAGCGCTGCATGCTGGCTGACCCTGTGCTATGACCCTCAAGCTTGCTTTTACCAGTCTGTGTGTCTCATAGAGAGCAAGATGGGGTAGGTGAAAAGAGCACTTCCCTACAGGGATTAAAGAAGTATCTCTATTATAGTGTAGAACAGGGGTCTCCAACTCCGGTCCTGGAGAGCTACTATCCAGTAAGTTTTCTATCCTACCTGGATTCTGATGAGCCACACCTGCTCCTGATACTTACCTGAGAACAGGTGTGGCTCATCAGAAGCCAGGTAGGATAGAAAACCTACTGGATAGTAGCTCTCCAGGACCGGAGTTGGAGACCCTTGGCGTAGAATGTACGATTTGATATTGAGCTGCAATGCATATCACTACCAGCAGATGTCAGCATCTGATAGCATCAACAGCATGAACAAGTGGAGCATGGCTTCAAGAATGTGGTTAAAACAGACAATACATTAAACTAACACTTGAAAAATAACATCCTTACTGATTGCATTTAGCTTCTGAAGTCATTGTAATTAAAGGTCTCTGAAATAAACTCTTAGTTCAGTAAGTTACTTTTGAGTTCATGTATGTTTTATTCTCTATATTCTCAAAACTAAGGCAGCAGGATTGTTCACATTTACAACAATTTTCCAACATGCAATTTAACTATATAACTATAACACTCCAATGACTTTGTTTCAGAATAGAATTTTTAGAGCTTCACTCTTACAGAAAATATAGTACGCATGGTTTTTGCAGTAAAGTTACTCCATTTGGCACAACAATAATAATAAAATAGCGCCAAAAGAGGAAATAGAAACTTTAATAGCATACAGAATGATGCAGTGGGCAGCTTTGTGGCCTCACACCCTGCTCTGCTTGTGTAGAGTTTGCATGGTAGTCTTGTGTTTGCTTTTGTTTCTTCCCACAGTCTTTCAACTGGGAGTTGAGGTCAGTTGGTGCTTTAAAACTGAACCACATATGTATTCTATGCATATCCTAGGGAAATCGACAGGCTCGTTAAGGTGGATGAGCGATTATGGGAAAGATGGATTTATGTAGTTGTGTAAACCTGTGGCTCAACTTGTTCATCCAGATACATCCATAATATTGTTTTTTTTTTTTTTGTATTTTACTAGTTTCTGTGCTGTAGCCTCTCAAGACTGACCTTGTTAATGGCAATTGTGAAAGCGGGCTCCACTTCAGCTTCAACATTGTCTTCCTGAAGATAGCAGAAGAGTTTTGTCCCTCTCAGGACACTGTATGTGGTCTTACAACTTTGGCTGTCACCTCCTAGGTGCTGTGAGAGATTAAGAGTGATTCATAGACAGAGCCAGAGGGGAAGTGATAATTGCTGCATGGCACTGAGAGTGGTGCACTGCTAGACAAGGCCGTCAGACCAGACAGGAGTTCCATTCCTGCAGTCATCTGCTCACCTTGACCTTGAGGCGGCCGCTCATCATCTGCTCAGTCATGCAGCGAGGCTGTGCCACCAGACGACAGCACGCACTTCCATAAAGGGGCAGCCAGTATGAACACTCCTCTGGAAGACACAGAGGATGAGAGATGAATAAACTCTGCAGCCATTGTCAAACTACAGTTCCTTCTCATCTCTCAGTCCCTGTTGTTATTGAAGGACTCCATTGTTTTTCATCCAGTGCAGCTATCAACTGGATATTACAGAACAGCATTAGGACCACTTAAGAGGGAAAAAAATAATTATAAAAGATTTTGAGATTAAACTTTTGAGATGTAAAAATTTTCATATTATAGTTGAAATAAACTTTTGAGAAAAACATCAAAAAATCTGAGATTAAAGTTGAAAGTTTTGAGAAAAAGGTGTTTTGAAATAAAAATGGAAATCAACTTTTGAGAAAAAAGCAGAATATTTTGAGATTAAGGCTCAACATTTTGAGATTGAAGTTGAAATAAACTTTAGAGAAGAAAGCAGAAAATTTTGAGGTTAAAGTTAAATTCCACAGATAGCTTCTCCTGGCCTGGCAGATGTAAGCTTTCATTTTGTGCAGGAAGAACAGAGAAAGCAGCTGAATGTGAGGCATATCTGTGGTGTGGTTGTGTAAGATGTGTCCCCTCCTACAGACAGCTCACAGTCACTGATAGGTTTCTACCATTTAACTTTCAACTAATTTCTCAAAAGTTTATTTTCATTTTAATTTCGACTTTAATTTTGCCAACCTAAATTTTGCCAAGTCCAGATGGTATTGTCTTTTGGTCCGAATGAAGACGGGAATCCACCATTTGAGTACCCCCAAACTATTTTAAGACTACTTCTGTTTTATTATTATTATTATTATTATTATTATTATTATTATTAGCTTCACAAAAATTTGTATATACAGATGGCATATGAGCTATTACATAACTGTCTGCTAATTAGAAAAGTGAGAAAAAAAATTTGATAATTGAAAAATCTCACAATAATAAACTATTCTGGACTGTGGCCTGTATAGCCTGTTACCCTTCAGAAGAGATGTTGACAAATTGAGTGACAACAATAATAAAACACAACAAAGACTGTGGTGTAAATAATGAATACATCACTAAAGGTATTGACATATCCTATGAACATACTTATTGCTTACTTCATTGAATCTGCTAATTAACTTATTAAAAAGCTTCACTATGCTTTTAAAAATCCTTAATAACCAGAAGAAAAACTAAGAGAGAGAGAGAAGTAAAAGAGGGAGGGACAACTGACCATTTCCAGTGATAGACAGATCATGTGTACGGAAAGCATCCTGCACATGTGCCATCACCAGAGAGGTGTGGGCCAGCAGGTGGTACTTGGGTCCACTGCAAAAAGAGTGTCATGGAAACCATGTTAAATGTGAGACAGCCATGTTTGTCATGGATGGAACATCCTTATCACTGTATATGTAACACCAATTGCACTGTACACTGTACAGCACTATGTATGCATGTGTGTATGTAGCTATAGTGATAGGTGGTAAAGACTCAGATATTCACAAAAAGCTTCACTAAGAACAACACCATAATAATAATGGCTTGTCTGCAATGATAGGTTGATCTAGATCCCCCTAATCTAGAGTTTATTATTATTATTATTATTATTATTATTATTATTACATGATTACACATCCATATATTTTGCTGTTTGCAAATGTCAGCTGATCAAGGTTGCTAGGATACCAATATAGAGCATCTTGAAATGTGCTGTCCAAAACTGGCATCTTGTGAACTACACAGACTGTCCTACATAGGGAATAGCGAGTGATGGAGTGAACCATGTGAACCATTTCAAAGACGCTGCATGCAGCTGAGCACATGGAGGTGGCCCAGGCAGCCTTACGAGTTGGAGGGTGCAGGCAGCAGCAGTGGGGCCCCTCCCCCGTTGCTGACCGGGCTGCCTCCCCCGGGTTCCAGCCCTGACCGGAACTTCTTCCCCGACGAGCGACTCAGGGAGCTGCCGAGCTTGCTGGCCAGCTTTCGGGATGCACTGCCCGTGGAGGACTCGTCCTCTGAGCAGCAACTGTAGAGCTCCATTCGCAGCTCGAACCCAGGGCAGGCCTCTTGGCTATACAATGACAAAGAAACAGTTTGTCAGCTGTCTGTCAGGAAACATTCATGGTAACAATATCAAAATAGCTTTGTCATCTGCTGGTGATCGCCTGCATGACTGGCCAAGCACTGTCATTGAAACCTGATAAGGAAATTAGGAATTTATCATAATAGCTGTGATTATGCTTCTACCAAGAACTAAATGAAAGCAACAAAAGGAGTATGTAGATATATACTACTAAGGACCTTAGTACTCTCTAATGAGGACATCTGATGGTTCTTTAAATTGGCCCATTAACCAATTTAGGCTAATGCAACGGATTTTCTTAACGCTCTTCGCCGTCCATCCAGGGTGCCGTCTTTCTTGTGTTCTGTGCTTTCTGGGACAGGTTCTCGGGTGACCTTAACTTTCCAGATAAGCAGTTAAGGAAGCTGCATAGTTTGATGGATGGATGGATAGTTATACTGCTTATACAGTTTTTTTCATTGGCTCCAATAATTTGGTGGTATAATGCAAACATATTATTGCAGTACAAATGAAAATGTAAAAAGAATTCTATGAGTCACCATAGCAACAGTGAAAAAATAAGGTCAACATTTAAATATTTGTGAAGATACCAACAAGAGTGACGGTTTTAGTTATCCAAATTATAAATGGAATATTTTTGAAAAAAAGAACAGTAGGGCTTTGGTGTTCCATCCCTGTTAATGTATTTATAGGAGTCTGGTGAAAAAGGGCCGTGTAGCACTGCAGAGATGTGGGACCACGAGGGCACTCACAAGATGATGGTGCTGTCGAAGCAGATGTCCGTCATAGTGCGATCTACCATCACCATGTCTGTGTCGTGGATCTCACCCCCCAGCTGCAGTATGCAGAAGACAGCACAGCGGTGGAGCTCTGGCAGAGGAGAGGGAAATAGGGAGTTGGTGAGGTAATATGCAGACAAAGTATAAAGTGTGTAAGGTCGCATGCATACTTAGGTATAACTCTTACTTTTTATAAGGAGACGTCTTACCGTTTTGTGTGGATGTCTTTTTTGTGTATAGCTATTACTATTTTGATCTATATGGTTTTTGTATATTTGGCTTACTGTTCTTGTGCATAGCTATTGCTGTTTTATGTGTATGACGTACTGTTTTGTGTGTATGACGTACTGTTTTATGTGTATGACGTACTGTTTTATGTGTATGACGTACTGTTTTGTGTGTATGACGTACTGTTTTATGTGTATGACGTACTGTTTTATGTGTATGACGTACTGTTCTGTGCATAGTTTTTACTGTCCTATGTATATGCCTTACTGTTTTTATATATATGGCTTACTGTTTTGTGTATGGTTATTACTGTGTTATGCATATGGATTACTTTTTTGTGTAAAGCTCATACTGTATTATGTATATGGCTTATTGCTTTGGTGAAATTTTAAGAAACAAATCTTAATCTCACACTCTGGGGCTGTTCTTCTGTATTTATAAGAATTTATTTTTGTTTGCTCTTTACCTTCATTGGCTCATTAGCGTTTTAGAATGGGATTAAGAACTGAAAAAAGACTGAAATACAAAGGTATATTTGCATACAGTATGAGGAATGACTGCATGTTTTATGTATGGATTAAATTTTTTTGTTAGGTATGTGCATCAATAATATCGTGCTCTCTGCTCTGCATCAATAAGTATCAAATGAGAACAGATCTTGAAATTTACAAGCTACTGTGACAATGAGTTCTCAACAAAACTACCCCCAGTTTTGTACATTAACATTTCCAGAAGAGCTCATGTGATGTGGTCACATGATGTCAAAGAGAAGGAACTGAGGCTTCATTTTCCTTGATTCTGAGGTTTGACTGGAATGCAGATAATGTTTCCTCCGACATGGTGCTAAAACACGCACACAAATGCAAGTCTGTAACAGATTTAGGGTATTAAAGAGACATGATATCTGATGAGGTGAATGCCAGAGAACTGGATGCACCAGAACGCCATCTTTTAATTTACCTCCCTTGTTCTTGAAGTATTCTGTGTCTTTCCACATCAGTGGGATGCGTAGGTCTGCATGAAAACCAGACAAGTGTGTTAAAGGCATGGCAGCATGAGTCACTCTGCCGACAACTGAAAGACAGGCAGCCTGTCAGAGCAGCCACATCACATCAGACTCCAATCAACCAAAATGACGCTGTGGGAGACAATGGCCTTTGCTAAGAACTGTCCAGCTAAGGGGTCATATATTCCGATGTTGACGATGGTTAGATCAAGACTGGCACTAGGGGGAGGGCATGTTGTGGGCGACACATAAGTGTCGGCCTCTTTGTGTATACAGTACGCATACAGCATTTATCTGGGAAAAAAACTGTTGCTATGCAGATAATTAACGTTTAGCCTCATTGATATTCATACCCTGCTTGCAGAGATCCAAACTGAGAAATGCTCACTGCCTTGCTGTATATATCAAAGTGATTCATTAGTACTAAATAATGGTCTTATTGCAATAATCATATATAGTAAATATTAGAAATAAATCCACAAATATGCAACAACTGATGTAAGTCACTGAAGTCACATTTGCCAGTTTGGAAAAGAGATTACACAACATAAATACTTTCCATAATACTTTCCAACATTAAGAGGCTTATTCCCTTTGTTGTTTCACATTGTTTCTGAACTTGGTTGTTCAGGTAGTGTACCCAAAATATCAATGTCTAATGACCATGTTTGAAGCTTAAATATGTCATAGATCAGGGTTCCCCAATTCCAGTCCTGGAGGGCCAGGACTGGAATTGGGGACAGTTTGGAGATTTCTCTGTTCAAAACTTACTAAACCTGGTAATTAGCTGATTAAGATGTGTTTCAACAGGGAAAACTGCTAACTGTGTTGGATTCTGGTCCTGAAGGATCAGAACTGGGGAACCCTGCCATAGATGGTCTGTAGCATACCCGAGATGGCCACTTTTCCCTTGCAGGGGAGGCGTTCATCTAGTGGTGCTGAGTCCGATGGTCTGTGGAAGAAGCATGGCAATATTTACTTCCCTACGTGACACTCCACATCAACACACCTAGTAGTGCATTTCCCTTTATGAGTCTATACCATCGTGTATCGTGCTGAACATCTCCCTCTACAGACTTCCCCTTGGCATCAACAAAGTATGTCTTATCTCCCATAGTGCACAGACCAACACCCTACAGCCACCTACAGAGCAGCCTGCCCAGGCCTCTGACCTGCGTGTTGCCCTCTGTAAGATCTGGGCCTCTTTCATGCGCTGCAGTTCTGACATGTAGGCTAGGATGCGTGTGTTGCAGGTCAGCAGACTCTTGGAGGCCTCCAGCGCCTGGTCCTTCTGGGAACAGGCTCCCAGCAGCTTGCAGGTCCCCTCTCGCATCCGGATCTCATGGTCTATCTTTTTCTGGATGTCACTGTCCTGCAAAAGTTGGAACACAACTCTGAGTATCGTCACAGGGAAAGTGCACAGGAGATTTTATAGAGTAATAAGCACCTCAACTAAGTTTCAGTTTAGTATTTAGAAAACGGTGGTTTTGCTGCCGAACACAAATTCACTAGGGCAGATGCTGGCAACAAAAAGCAGCCCAGGAACTTGCCACAGACCAAAAAGGGGATGGCAGGGGTTTGGTATTTTTTGCTGCTTTCTGGTTGCGATCAACTGGTTGGCCACTAATGAAATAAAGCATTATCCATTAATCATCTCTTGCAATCTACCTGGAAACTCACCGAGATTAACTTACATATTGGCAACCCTGGTATACAGACTATATAATGTTGAAAGAAAGAAAGAAAGAAAATTCCCAAACTTCCCAATGGCCCATCCAGGCTTGAAATTCAAACAAAGTTTGATCTTAACATATAAATAATTGACATTCAATCAAATGGAATAATGAATAAAATACGAAATAGCCATGTTTTAAGGCAAAATTGGTCCGTGACTGAAAATAAATACTTCTATTGCTATTTGGTTATACAGCAGTGCTATTACAAGTGTCACGCCCCGCATGCCTTTTCCACTGGGTTCCCTGTGGTGTGGCACCAATGAGCCACACCTGTTCCTCCTTGAACCCTGCCTCCCATTTCAGCCCTCGTGTGGACGATCCCCGGTGCCTCCCGTTTCAGCCCTCGTGTGGACGATCCCCGGTGCCTCTCGTTTCAGCCCTCGTGTGGACGATCCCCGGTGCCTCTCGTCTGCTCCCTCATCTGTGGTGTACGTAGTGCCTCCTCGTCCTGAGCTCTCCAGTCCGGTCATTGTATTGTTACGCTGTAATGTTCTGCTGCTAACTGCATGTGCCCCCCAGTTTACCCTGTGCCCTGTGTTTCCCCCCTGCTATATCCGCCTTGTTTTAACCCCTTGCAGTCCATTCCCTTTTGCCTTTTATGTTGTGCTTTTGTTTTAATAAAGCCCTTTTACTTTGCCCCGACGCCTGCCTTCACCTCCATCCTTACCGCACCATGACAACATGTGGGAGTTGGTGTTGCTTCTATGGTGCTTATTTTATTTTTTTTATAAGGTTGCATGAATATCATTTCTGCTATATTTACGGTGACCTATGCACCTTTATTTGCGGTGACTCACGGAGAGACTACGCACATGTCAAAATTCCCATGGTGTGTATTATTATAGGTACAAAGTTCTCAAAATATATACCAATGTTGTTATAATAATAAATATTAGGGTTACACTAATACCATTTTTTCATACCAAGTACATATACGAGTGCATATATTTGTGTATTTGCCGATGCTGAGTACTGATATGAGTACTTTAGGCACTGAAATAACAATGACCTAACCTAGCATAACCAGACCAATGCTCAAATGAAAAATTGTAAATGAACTAATGGGGTCCAGACAAATTTTCATATAAATAATTCTTTCTATGAATAAAAATAAAATGCATAACATGAGGCCATTTCCAACCAAATATAAATAAATATTCCAACCAATATTTCAGAATGCCCCAGGTCTGAAGCATATCCACAAATGCGCCTGCTATAGCTTGGCTGATGTGCGAGCACCGAAACGGCTTTGCTTGCAATGTGACTTTCTAATCTATCCACTGTGCAGTTAAACTGAGGAGAGAGATCTGCTACTCCATATAACACTTGTAAAGCTGAGGGCTGTAACGTTACGCAGCATGCCACTAATGTTCTTTTTCACAACATCGAACACCTTTGGTAAAATCATTTTAAGTACTGTTTTGGCTTACACATGCTCTGAGTTTCTGCGACGTTTTAGCAAGCTCCAAAAATATGTTTACGGCCAACTCGCAAATGACATAAACCGCGAATGCGTGAATGTGAAGGGGGTATATTACTGTTCGTACAAAATATTTTAATATGAATATTAGCTTTAATAATCTTACAACCTTACTCTCATCATTATTAGTTAAGTTCTCCCCAAGCGAGCTCGATGGGCCGAATGGCCTCCTCTTGTTTGTATAGTTCTTATGTTCTTATGTTCTTACTTGTGTCTGTCGCCGGACCTCTCTGGCTCACCCTCTCTCCATCAGATGCAACCAAGTGGAATTTAAAGTCGCACACTTGCAATAAAAGGTTGCATTTGCGACCATTTTGGTTGCAGTCTGGAGCCCTGCACATCATCAACAACTGACAATGGCTGGTCATTGAAAGCAATGTACTAAGAGCCTCAGTTATGTTTACTGTTTGTGGGTTGTCTCTATACATTTTCTCTCGCTCCTCTAAAATTTGTCACGGTCTTTCTCTGCTAGCATTAGAAAACTCCCATGTACTCTCTTCTATGATGCATCTTTAGATGTTTGATCAACTTGCTTGTGTTAAATGACATGCTGTCCCTTCCTCCTCTTGACATTTCAGCAGAACAGAGCTCTGCTACTTTACTTCGTTGCACAAGAAAAATTAACATTCTGTGTCCTTTTGCGCTAGGCACTGAAATTCCATCTGCATTCACTGGGGGTTACATGCATAACATATTAAAGGGGCAAAAATCTAAAACAGCTGTGCTGCTTCTCCCCCTTTCACACGTGCTGTACACATACCACAGCAGTAAATACGAGGGCCACGAATGTCTTCTTCTCACATGAATATGTATCCAGACACATGCTCTACTGTAAAACCCAACATGATTCGAAGCATTGGATATGATTTAACTGGCATTCCATCCAGGGTGCACAGTAGCCTTGTGCCCTATGCTCTCTGGGACAGGTTCCAGTCCCCCAGTGACCCTAATCATGATAAACAGAAGATGGATGGATGGATACAATTTATATCAAATGAACATGAATTGAGGTGTCCTACTTTTGAATAGACACTCCTCACTTAACGACCTAACTGTTTAATGACCACATGGGCTTACAACATACTCTACAACCGGTATTGTACGCTGTAGAAGAACTTTGGTCATGGATTCAGCAGTACAGCATATCAGCATCAAGCATCTCATCTCACATCACCCTTTCTCAGTCTCAGCCTTGTTCCAGCAGTTTCATTGCTATCTACCCATTTAGGTTGTTCTGCTGGGAGTTGCTGAGTTTTGGAGATTTGAGGCATGTCGGGCTTCTCTCGAATATAATGGGAGAAAATGGCATCCTTTCTGTAGTGATTATAACGCCAGAAAAATACATGTTAAAAATGCAACAGCAATGTCTCTTACCAGAAATCATGACATAGTTAGTCGAGATAATCCACAGATTTTGTAGTGATCAGTTTAATATACAAACTATTTTCTTCTACCGAACTCCACACACCAGTCATATCACTGTGCAGAAGATATAGCCGGGGGGCTTGTATCTTTAAAATAATAACAAACATGGTTGATAAAAACCCAGTACCAGTACAGTATGCTTGAAATATCGGTAAGGGGTGGCATCTCACTTATTGACCAAATTGCTTAACAACCTAGTAATAGGAATGGAAGTCGGTTGTTAAGTGAGGAGTGTATTCAAAATGCTTCTTTCTTTAGAAAAAAAAGTCATTGTATTCAATTTATCCTTCCAATATTATCTGAGCCTCTAGGTAACTGAAGCTGATCAACCATCCATTTTCTGTAACTGCTTAACCTATTCAAGGTCACAAGGGGTTTGGAGCCTTTGGGTGCAAGGCAGGGAACAACCCAGGATGGGGTACCAATCCATCACAGGGCACAAGGCAGGGAACAACCCAGGATGGGGTACCAAACCATCACAGGGCACAAGGCAGGGAACAACCCAGGATGGGGTACCAATCCATCACAGGGCACAAGGCAGGGAACAACCCAGGATGGGGTGCCAACCCATCACAGGGCACAAGGCAGGGAACAACCCAGGATGGGGTGCCAACCCATCACAGGGCACAAGGCAGGGAACAACCCAGGATGGGGTACCAAACCATCACAGGGCACACCTACAAACTCCAATTAACCGCAGCATGTGTTTTTGGGCGTGGGAGAGAAACTGGAATACCCAAAGAAAACCCCAGGGCAAGACAGGGAGAACATGCCAACTCCACACACACAGAGCTATGGCAGGGACTTGAACCTTGATCCCAGAGGTGTGAGGGAACAGTGCTAACCAGTGTTCCACCATGCCACCCCAAAGCTGATAGTGAGGTGGAAAAACATCACAGTACATGCAGTAATAGTGTCTGTATGTTTGTGTCAGCTTTGTGACAGCTTTATCGGTTTCTGGCAAATTTTCTTCTAAATTGGAGCTGGATTTGTTTCGAAAGGTGAATCCAAATTGTTATACCTCTAGCAAATGCAAACAGAAAATTATTATCAGTACAGTTTATGCTCGTTTAGCGTCACCGTGAGGCTTCAGTAAATATAGCCATAGAAAACAAAGCCTGCAAAGTAAGACAAAGGCTCGTCTGACAAGTTTGGCAAGAACTGAATCCAACAGTTAAGATGTTCTGACCAAGTTTCCAAAATAACAATAGTAATAAATAACGATAATAATTGATACTTTGTTGATCCCCATGGGGAAATTCTCTTTAAAATGAGAAATTGTCATACACACACCGACTGAATATGCAAAAATGCTCCATGTGTGTCTCTCCTATGAATATTCACGTGCATATTCATCCAGAGGACACGGCTGCTTTCTAACCGAGGAGAGGTCAACGGTCATCAGGACACACAGCACTGATTCTTCACACCATTTGCAGTTTTGTTAGCCTGCATTACTTCCATAGATCTATAATGCTGGATGTGTTCCAACCATTCTACTTCCTTCTAGGAACGCATGACAATTTAGTGTAGTAATATTTCATACATGCCATGTAAAAAGAAAAAAAAGGCCATGATGCATTATTGTTGAGCAGAAGTGGCGAACATCTGTGGTACTACATATCAGTATATGCACACAGACACATACACACATTTAGAGCTCTGATCAGACCACTACTGTATCTGTGGCATTTCATATAACCCCTAGTTAGGGTTCCCAGCTGAAATACC